GTACCGGATGATGTTCTTGTTTGATTATATGTAATGAGCTATATTTACCAAATAGAAAAGAATAGTTTAAATGAAATGAAATTATTTAACCTTACTGTCTGAGCATATTGTTGTTCAACAAGTGATAAATCAGTAAATATTAATGATTGATTTTGTTGAGATGTCCAACCCTATGATATTATATTACTTTATAGAACAATATTTATAATATCAGCTAATCATCTATCAAAATCTTCTTTTTTTAATTTAAAACCTCAAGTAATAACTTTCTAATTAGACATATATCAAAACTGACCGATTGGAAATCATAACCAGTTGGAGACGTAGTAGAATCACTTAGTATTTGACTTGTCTATGATTTAAAAAAAAAATAAAAGAATAAGTATGAATATAACACAAACTTTAGTTGCAGATGTTGAATCATAAGAAGATATTGAACGAGGTCGAAGATCATCAGCTAATAAACAATTAATTAAATTTCGACGACGTTTTAAACTACTTGAAAATATTTCTTCCCAATAATCAGTATCAGCTTGAGTTAATGACTAAAATTAATAATTATAATATTTAATTTCCATTTAAATATATTCATAAACTAAATAAGTGACAGATTTTCTTCATGCTAACAACTGTTTCTTAAAGATACGAATGTAACTGCTGATAACAATCAACAACTGTTTGTTCGAACTATTGATCAGATGAAAGCTATCAACGACATAAACCATTGAAAGTGTTACTTCAACATTAATAAAATCTAACTTATTACTACTAAGAAAGTTAATAAAAAACAAAATCACATGGTGAATGCTAAAAACTGAATTATATGATAATTATAGTTAGATTCTTTACACGATAGGCGATGATTGTTCATGACAATACTCATTGATAAGATAAAAAACATATTCTACATGTGTTGATAGACTGTCAAGTATTATCAATGTAATATAAATAAATCATTTATTCCACAACATAACTCATCACTTATAAATAACGTTATGGAAAATCTCAACTTAAATTAAGAAAAGAATTAATGATAATATATATATATATATATTACTTGTTGTGTTAAATATTCAAATTGTTCATCATTAAAATTTGCTCGTTCACTTTTTAAATATGCATCTAATTCTGTTTCATTATTAACTTTTGTCAATCGAGTTGTTGGTTTTACTGTGTATGATGATGAAGATATTGTTTCAATAGCTGCTAATTTTTTTTCAATACTTGTTAAATTAAATGATGTCGACGGCGTTGAAAGAAACATCTAAAAGCAAAGAAGAAATTCTTTAATCAAACCATTAAATAACTAAATATTAGAGATGTCTTGAGCGGTGTCGCTTTCTTTCAATTTCGAAATATTTTCGTTTCTTCTTTGCTAGTCTATTCCAATTAATCTTCTAAGTCATAGATCCTTCCCTTCGCGTAATTCTTGCGACCTTGAGACACTCTTAAGTATAATTTAAAAATCAATGGATGAAAAATGATAGTAGTAAAAGATTTAAAATTGTTAAAAAAATTTCATCCTTCGGTGAGACGTATAATCATTGGTCAATTTATTAGTCAATTATTAGAAAGCGTTACATACTATTTATATATACAATTGAATATATATTAAAAATCAAATATTTTATTGAATAAATAAATTTTCTAATAGATTTATTAATTTAAATATAAAATTTTAATTAATAAATTTTTATTGGTTAATCAATGATGCAAAGAAAAAACAAATCAATCAATCAATCAATTCGATCTCTTCTTCTTTTATTTATTTTTATCTATTTTTGATTTGACGTAACAAAGAAAATTCTATCACTATGTATATTTTAGATCATTCTTTTTATCGTATATATATCAAAATATCATGTCAGTTGTGCAAAATAAAAAATGTGGTAAATGTGAAAAAATTGTCTATCCAACTGAAGAAATCAAATGTCTTGACAAAGTAAGTTATTTTCTTTTGCTCTTCATTATTCTTTATTGGATTCGCTCATTTTAATATTAGACAATAAGGTAAATCAGGTGTGAACTCTTTACTTATGAATTTTTTTTTGCGCAAACAAATTTTCCTTCTGCTTTTTACAGAAAGCAATGCATGATTTTCTTCACAAGCTATTAATGCCTATTTTGTTTTCTATTTGATATTTTATTTTTAATCATTCATCTATTTAATTATAGTTTTGGCATAAAGGATGTTTAAAATGTACAGTATGTGGAATGACTCTTAATGTTAAAAATGTCAAAGGTTATGAAAAAATGCCTTATTGTCATGTGTATGTATTTATAAATAATTAATTAGTATTTGAAATTCGCTAAACCTTTTTTTTCTTTAGACATTATCCACAACCAAAACCAACAGTTGTTGTTGACAATCCCGAAATGCAACGTATTCGATTATTAACAGATATTCAAAGCAATGTAAGATTTCTTTTTTGTTTTTTAGAATATATGAAAGATTTGAATAAATATTTATTGTTATAGGCTAAATATCATGAAGATTTTAATAAAAGTAAAGGAAAATTTACAGTAGTAGCCGATGATCCAGCATTAACACGAGCCAAAGAACATCAACGTATTGTTAGTCAAGCTGAATATACTGGTAAACGAAAAGATAGTTCATCACAAATACTTTCTCATGGTAAATATTAGACTATTATATATAAATCATTCAATGAAAATAAATGAATATTTTCTTTTCTGCTAAAGATACTAATCAATATAATAATAATGGTACTAATCGTGGAGGACATATTTCATCAGAATCAAGAGTAGGTCGTGGTAAGTTTTATTTTTCGAAACTACGATCAAACATTTTGTGAAACACGATCTAAAGAAAAAAGAAAGAGTGTTGAAGTATAGAAATAAAAGTTAGAATCCTACGCAAATGCTGTTGATATATACTGTATATCAATAACATCTCGTTATAATATATGAACTACTTTGTTATCGCATTTCCGGAGAATAAAGAAAATGTATCCTAAGATAGAGAGAATAAAACAATCTTCTTGTCATTTGTAAAAACAGTTACATCGTGTTCCATATTTTGATCCCTTTCAGGGTTTGTATTAACAGTTTTTTTGATATGTACATATAGTTGCGGATTATGATCCAATAAATGATAATCGTGGTTCGTTATCACGTGGTTATGAACCAACATCAAAAGCTATGCAAACAACGAGTTAGTTAATTAATTCTTTATTTTTATTATTTCGTCTCTATGTTTAATATATAGAATTTGAAATAAATACACATAAATCTGATAATAATAATGGAAATAATACTCAACATGGTTCTCATAGTGATGGACAAACAACATTAGTAAAATTATTTATTTTTTTTTTTGAAGTTTAGAAAAAGAAATTCTGGTATATTTAGATGAAAGTTCGTGCACTTTATTCATATACAGCAGCTGAATCTGATGAAATAAGTTTTATGGAAGGTGATACAATAATTGATTGTGAACATATTGATGCCGGTTGGATGTTAGGACGTCATCCAGTAACAGGCAAACAAGGTTTACTTCCATCAAATTATGTTGAAATAATTGGTTGAGAATGAAAATTGATTTGTTTTGTTTTCATTTATTGGGATTTTGATTTATTTCTCATAGAGAGAGATCTCATGTAAATATATATTGTTTTTACTCAATACCAACGTTCATATTCTCATTGTTTTGTTTATCAATTTGCCTTTTTTTTTTGCCGTGTGCATGTGTGTTGTTAAAAATTATTGTAAGAACTCTTAGAGATGAACAAGATGTTTGTTTATTTGGTTTTTTTTCTTTATTAAAAAAAAACAAAACATTCTTAATAAAGTTAAATAGTTTTTGAATATTTATTTTTTTTCTTTTTTTTTCATTCTGAACATCATCAATTATTTACTTAATAGCATTGTATTGAATAAATTTTGTTTAGTGAGAAATATCAATGAAAGAATTCATTGATTATGTTATTAATTTTTGTTTGGATTTATTATAAGATAAATGAAGATTTGTTCTTTATAATTAATATATATTTTTTTTTGTTTTTGCATTACATCCTCAGATTTAGAATACTTAATAGTACCCTATTCGATCGGTTAAATAATTTTGTTTACAATAGAAGCGACTCTATCGTGTCTTAAATCTTAATCTTCGAGGATTTGTATTGATAGGTTTTTCTAACCGAAATATGATATCTTTGATCTTAAAATGTTTTTTTTTTGTTGTATCAATAAGAGATTATATGATAATATTGATTTATTTCATAGGTTTCTCTCCTTTCAATTTAGAATCATTATAAAAGTGCACTTATTTGACAAGTTGACGTATGAGATTTTTAATAATTTATTCAATATTTTGATTATGAATAAATCAATTCTTATATTTGATTCATTGGATTGTAAAGAAAAATATTTTTTAGTTGTAGCAACATAAATTTATATTGAAAACATTATTTCGAGAGATAAATAAAACAAATATCAAATGTCTGGAAGCCATACTTATCTTACTATTAATGCTTGTTGATTGCATTATGCCTTTTTTCATTTTATGAATAATGTAAACTAACATATAGAAAATGATTTATAAGAATAATCAAAAATTCGATGATATTAATATTTTTTAATCTAAAATATCCTGTGGTGAATGACTTAATTTATTATTTTTATATGTTGCTTATACAAATTGACAGAAATAGATTTTGTGCACACATTACTATTTGTATTGTATGACATAAAAAGAATTGTAAATAGATTGACATGTTACAAAAAATTAATCAACACTTGAAAATCGCTTCTTTTTGTATACGCAAAAGCAATTTTGATCGACAACAAGCGAACGAATTTGAATCAAACACATAAAAAAAAAAACATTATCTTTTTTTTCATATTAGCGAAGAAGCAACAATCAACAACTACTATTCATAGTGTAAACAAAGGTAATTCACAAGAAACATTTCTATCATAATTTTTCAAAAGATTAGATAACAAATTGAAATTAATATATAGGTCGAAAGATAAACAGTATGAACTTAGTTGATATGAATTCATATTTACCATATCTACGTCATTCGGCATATAATCATCAACAAAATCGATATATGTCAATTAGTACAAATCCTAAAACTATTCATTCATCATTGTCAATATATTCTTCAAAAAAAGAAAATTCAATACCTTTATTAATTCAATTATGTTTTCATTCAAATGAAAATTATGCATATCGTACAATGCGTACATTACTTTCATCACGTTATTCGAATTCACCTAATGTATATGATGAATTTGGTTGTAATTTACTTATGTATACTCTACGATATCAACGTTATAAATTATTTGAATTTTTATTAAATGAAACAATTTTTGATATTAATCTTCATGATAAAGATCAACAAGGTAATACAATTCTTCATTATGCAATATTATATGGAGGAAATAATACACAAATAATTGATAAATTAATTGAAAAATATAATAAATTTTCTATTGAAATTGATGAAAGAAATAATTATGGATTTACACCATTATTATTAGGTGAGAACAAAAATGATAAAAATATTAATGAATTATTTATTTATAGCTGCTTTTTGTGGACGATATGATCTTGCTTTGAGTTTATTAACTGAAACTGATGCATCACCATTTGTTCGTGATCATATTCAATTTAAAAATATATTTGATTATATTGAAATCGATATGAAAAATAGAGAATTTATTAGTCAATATCAGAATAAGTATAGTTTATTTTTTTATTGAAAAATATTTTCAATACATGATTATTATTGAAGATTTTAATTTTATTTTTAGTCAAAAATCTTCTTTATCAAATTCTAAATCAAAACGTTTACATGTTCGACATCATCAAACTATTCATTCTCGACAAGAAATTTCATTTCAAATAAATCAACCGAATAATAATAATAAGAAGAATTTTTTTGAAACTATTTTACCTCAAGCTATTGAACATGACTTAAATTTATTACGTTCATCTATTATGAAAATGTATGATTTTGAATATTTTTATTCTAGTTTAAGACATCTTCTAAGTTATTTAAAAGAACGATATCCACGTATTAAAACTTTACAATTATTAGAAAATGCACATGATATAACAATAACATTAAAACTAGCATTACAACAAGAAAATTCCAAAACAAATGTTCATCGTATTTTAAATTTATTTGATCCAAATCTAAGACCTAAAGTAATACCATTAAAATCATCTTCACAAAAAGTATTGTCAACGACTAGAATGCCTATGACATTTAAACGATTGGGTACCAAAATAACAACACTTACTTCTTTTTCTCGAATGCAAGTCAATAATAAACGTTCTGCACTCGTAGCAACTAATAACAAATAAAAATAACACATATCTATCTAAACGTCAAACGAGAATCGTTTTTTTTTTTTCAATAAAATTTGTTTAATCTCAATTATTATCACATTCTTGTATTTTCATTATGTTGATTATTTATTATTAGATTGTAAGAAAAGTAAATTAGAAACTTTTTCTGGAGAATAATTAGCATTAAAACAGATCCATTGCAGAAGTTATTTTAAGAATAATAGTGGGATAGCGATGCAGGAGACGTTTTTAGAATATTATTGTGCTAGCGGAGCGATGATATTATTAAGAATAACACTGTGATAACGACAAGAGAATTGTTGTAAAAAACCTGTCGTGGAGCAGTGGAACAAGAGATGTTTTTGAAGAATACTATCGTGACAGCAAAGCAGGACATACTTTAAGAATACTATCGCGACAGTAACACAGAGATGTTATGAAAATAATATTGCAATAACAAAGCGCGAGACGTTTTAAGCATTGCGATTGCAGCAAAGAAGTGATAGTTTATTTTTTTTAAGAAACTGCAAAGCTACATGAATTTACACATGATAAGAACTTCTATTTAGCATTACATTTGTCTGTTAAATTGTTTCTTCTTAACTTTTCTTTTAGAATAATTTTAAATTATAAAAGATCTATTCTGAAACAAATTTAAAATTGATTTTTCTCATATTTAACAAAATCAAACTCTTTAAAATTTTGCTAGATAATTGTATATGCTCAATACTATATAACTACAAAGTTTAAAGTCTATATTTATCTCTTCGTTCATATATTCAAAACAATACAATTTTCCGAAAATAAAAAGAAATCTGTATTACGTTATCAATATTTTTATGTATTATATTATCATTCTATTCAATCACTAATCTCTATTTTGGTGATATTTTTATCTACCATTTGTTGACATAAAAAAACCACTAAATTGGTTAGATTTCATTGTAATATCATTTTTCAAGATGATTAAGATTCTAAACAAAAGATACGCATCTCCATCAATATCGTCAATCATATTCTTATCAAATTAATTGAATCAATAAATTGTGCTGCACAGCTAGCTAGCGTCTGATCTATAGAAAACGTTTGGGATGCATTAGAGGAAAAGCTACGAGGATAGAAACATATTAATATTGGAAGATTCAGAAATGACATGAAAAAGAAATGTACCCAATTTAGTGTTTCTTTATGTCAACTGATATGAATTTCTTTTTATTTCGAAAAATTGTATTCTTTTAAAAATATGAATCAAAATAATAAGAAAATTTCAAAAAATAGTTCATCATAATGTTGTTATAGATTCTTTAAAGAGTTTGATTTCGTTGAATAGGAGAGCAATACATTTTAAAGTCATTTTCAGCACTTCCAAAACATCTCCATATGTACCTTTAGGTGAATTAATTTCTCTCTCTCTCTATTATTTTCTAGTGAATTCTTTTCCTTTCCATGCTCTTGTACTATATATGTATATCTTTTTGCCTAAGAACAAGAAATCAGTTTATATATGCAACAAGATAACACGTCTCTCTGACAAACATTTTTTACGGACGTCAATAAACAAAAAAATAAGTAAATCAAAAATATTCGGAAAAAATCATTAGGGTATGTATACAGACTAGATATACCAGAAATAGTTGTAACTATCCTTTAGTTGTACAAATTATCATCTAAGTATAATGCAATTTTTATGCTATTTCTACATGCTGTATCGTATTTTGTATGTTAAATAACTTGAATCCGATCCTGATGACTAGAATTCTATGTGCTTAGATACCAATTTTGACCGAAACTTGATATATTTCTAAAAGTTTTTAAATATTCATGGAGTTAAACAGAAGAATCCTAGTTGTTTGGTGACTGTAGATCGATTATTGTCACATGAGTTATTCTTGTTCGCATAAATTTTCAACATAAATAATTAAATAGTATATTTATTATTTCGAATATCTTGAAAACATATACCATAGAACTGTATTCACATTCCTTCGAAAGAATGTTTCAGTAATCGTTTATTTGATGATTATTTTACATTCAAATATATATCTATTTAGAATCATCTTAACTTTTAAATAGAATCAAATTCTTATAACACTGAATGTTGAATGATTATTTTTATTCATTGAAAAAACATTCTAGTTCACACTATATTTAATCATTGTTCTTGATTCATATTCATTAGATGTTTAGAATTTTCCTACTATTGAAAAATTTAATTAGATACTTGTTATATTATATGAAATCAAATGCATTGTCGATAAGATAAATTATTGTCATGACTATAATACTATCAGAACAATAGTAATCAAACGATACTTTATTTCTATCATTATCTGTTTTTTTAATGCGGTGCGAAGCACAGCATTTATGTAGTTCGTCGCGAGTTTTTTTTTTTATTTCTTACTTCCTTGATTGACGTACGCATGTTATCTCGTCACTTTGTGACGCGATGATCTCGAGAACCAAAGATCACAGATTAATCGTTAAAACGAAAGGTGGTAGTATCATGATCGAACGCATTACATCGTTTTTCCAATCTTTCATACAGTCTTTCGTTCGCACAAAAATACCGTTCCAAAAACACGATTTTGACAAAATTTTGCATTGAGATAATTAAAACGAAAAATGAAAGAGAAGTCAGGCGCCATTCTTTCTCTTTGAATGTAAGACAGCTGTGATACAGCTGATTGTAGATAATGAATCATATAGATAATTAAACGATCAATCGAAATCGTCCTTCAGAAAAGTGTTGATAGGCTTTCATAGAGTTCTCGTGGCGATGAATTTTATTATGGTACGTTTCAATTTTCTCACGACTTATATCAGCTGACTCGTGAAAAAGTAATTTTTCGAATTCGAATAATATAGACAAGTGTCTATGTTTAGTAGTCCGTCCACAAGTCAACCAGAAATGACGATTTCTATTAATTCTTTCTTTTTTACTATACGTATGCATCAAACTTGTCATTTTGTCACGCAATGATCTCGAAAATGGAAACTCACGAAACAGTCGTTTAAACGCAAAGCCAAAGTATCGAGATCGAACTCGTAACGTTTGTATTGATATTGTTCTGAAAATGCTTAATTTCCTCATAATCGGTTTCCGAAAATGACAAATATGAAACTATTTATTTGCTTTTCGTTTTGAGATAATTAAAATTGAAAAAATAAAAGAAAGTTAGGCGCCATTTACTTTTCTCATATGTCAAACAGCTGTAAATACAGCTGATAGTAGATAATGAATCATTGAGATAATTAATCGATCAATAAACAAGAGTTTCTAGAAGTCTGTCGATACGCTTTAGTAGAGTTCCTCTAGTGATCAATTTCATAATGGATGCCTTTCAGGTCCGACCTACGCTAGATCAGCTGTTCGATAAAAATGTTTTTTTTATCGATTGTGTCTAACTCAGAAAAATCTTCAATTATCTCTGAACCTTGACGTAGAATGTGAGAACAAATTGTGATGATATTCAGAAAGATTATTCGATTTCGATTCGAAATTCGTTTTTTGAATTCTCCGCACGTGTGCTTCGCACCGCATTTCGTATTCGAGTCGAAACTCGAATACCATCTAGTTTTCTTCAGTATTCATAGATGAAATTGTTTCCGCATTTTTTTTTGCCCAAAAATTGTTTCACACAACACTAAAGTAGATTGAATGACAATGATATGAATCTATATTGACACGATACACACAAATTCATCACATTCTAATAGAATATTTTATTCCATAAGATGGACATTATTTGTCAAAGTAACAGATCGACCAGAAGCATTAATTGAAAAATATACAACAACAAAAAGAAAAACAAATATCTTTTGTTGATACTCTATTTTCTATACGTTCGATTAAATATTTGTTTAGAGTAGTGACTGTACTTGTCAAAAATAAAAGTGTAAATAAAAGAAAAAACTTGTGAATGCAGTCCGATAAAAGACTAAAACGTGTAACTCACCAACTCTGACTGTTATAATTTTATGATAGATTGTCAATGGGGTTAAAATAATTTATTTAAAAGAAATATCAAATAAAGGGATAAATCAAAATTATAATAATTTTTCCGAGCATATAATTCTTTCCCTCGAGCAACTTTAACATATACTCCTTAGGTTTTAGCCTAAACTTAGAATTTAATTAGTTTATACTTTTCTATGTCCGTCCTATTCTGACTCTGTTAGATACATAATACCACAGCCGTACTGATTGACACCTATAATAAGATTCTTTCACTGTATCGAATACTGACATCAGTAATATTTAGATTTATGTCTGCACCGAAATACAAGAGAAGTAGATGTAATCTCAATAACTAGATATAGGTAATAACCAGTGAATTGCAGATTTCAGTAATTGAAAGAGAAGAATTTCGCACGTCTTTCTATCTGATAATATGTAAGACGGTTGTCATGCATTTCTTTTTGAATGTTTTGCAAAGATGGTGTGTTTTAAGATAAATTTATCGTATATAGTATTAGAGAAAAAGACGTTCGAATGTCTTCTCTTTCGATTGTTGAAAATCGTAAGTCACTAGCTCTTACTGTTGTCGAACTGTTTAGCTTACACGCACTATTCTTTCATTCTGGTAGGGACATTGGTTAGAGTCTACAGTAAAAGTTTTAGATTTATAGAATACTTTGGAATATTTTAGAAAGTTTCATAATAATCTAAACACTATTAGTACTTATGAATCTTTTTTTGTCACTAGGAAAACGTGCTCAATGACCTTTGGTTTTTCTCGTATTGCTCTCGCTTCTTAAGGATCTATGAGTAAACTACAAAAATCACGATTAAAACTTACACTCATTATTTTCTTCGAAAATTTATACGAATTCCACAAAAATTACAAGCATTATTGAGACCTTCTTCATTTTGATTGTTTTCAAATGTTTGACTAATTAAGCAGATTACTAAGATAGTTTTATACTGCATTCGTATCAATCAATATACGAATGTTTTATGATATTGGTGTTATTCCTTCTGAAAACTTATTCTATCTATTCAGAATGCTTTCTTT